CATGTGACGAATAAGGAGACTAAAGCGATGCACTTCGGGACTTGCACATCCTTGTCTTTGCAGGCGTGAGCACAACAGAGCGTGTGTGCTCCTCATCGGGCACAGTGCATGCTGCAGATGGGGACAAACCCATTCTGATTCTTCTTCCCAGTCAGACCTTTGATTTGTTTTTAGTTGTCTTTTATACTGAAAGGTCATCTTTAACAGAATGTTAATGAATCCCCTGAACTTTTTGCTATATTAAGTTCAATTTTCAAAGTGGTAAAGAGAAGACTGTGGAAGATCTCTCTGCTTTCCCCTGTATTTCTTTCTTAGATGAGCTTGGACTGAAAGCAGGAGAGGAGCAGGGCTTGGGGAAGCTCAAAGCACAGCAGAAATTTAACCTATACAAAACCTTTTATTGCAGAAGCATAAAACTTTGATGAAAATTGCATATTGCTTTTGATTTACAAGAGTGACGAGGCACTTTTCCTTCACTGTTTGCAAAGCAGGTGGCTAAAAAATGAAAGAGATGACATCCTCAATAATGTTTGAGAATTTGTTGGCTTATTTTACCATTTTGAGGAAGAAATGAAAACTCCTTTGGTCACTAAAAGAAATGAAATAGCCAAGCTTTGATCACAGTCTCAAATCTAAAAATATAATAAACTATGTAGCACTGCAAACAAACATAAGTTGAGGCATCCATAATAGAAACTCATAATCAGCTTTATGGCTGAGGTAATTTAAATTCTGTGCTATTTTAAAATAAAGGGGTTAGAAATATGAAAAAGCCATTTTGAAAAATTGGCAAAAAGCCCCTTACTTTTCTGGACAATCCCTTCTATCACAAACCTTATCCTTTTGTTCCTGCTTTTATGAAGAAATTTGATGAGTTTATGGCTGCAGTGTCTGTTCCTGAAAGATAAGCCTCATTCTTAACAACACAGCTGTACCTGTGGAGGTCAACAGAGGAGAAAGGTCATGGCTCCAATAATGATACTTCATTAGATGTTAAAAACTTCATGATTTTTTAACTGATTTTCACTTTAAAAGCTAAGAAAAGATCCCCCCTCAACAGTTTAATGCCATGCTGGTCTCATTCTGTTTAAGCTGCAAGCTACTGCTTTATTTGAAGTTTGTTTAGTCCATTAGCTTGGGAGAGGAGGAAGAGGATGTAAGGGGAAACCAGGAACTGTTGCGTTCGAGCTGAGGTGTCTCCTGTCTTACATCAAACAAACACCTCTCAGGAAGGCTCTAGGTGTGGTTGCAGCTCTCCTAGCACAAGGGACGGGCTCTGGGACAAAAGAGTGGTATTGTGCGTGTGTAATGTTAAAACCTCATCTCCAGAACATACACAAACCTCTTGAAGAAAAGTCCTTCCCTCTTTTGGTAGAATTTGGCTGGTGTTCTGTGAACATCTTAAACTATTTTTGTGTATGTTCTGGTTTCATTATAAGCAGAATTCTTTCCTCAGCTTAGTTTCCAGTGAAGGCAATGACAGCTTGTGTTGGCACCGGGGATGCAGAAGTAAGCAGCTGATGTTAGCTGGAAGGTGCGGATGCTTCATCCCACGGTGAGTGCTTATGTGTTCAAAGCATTTGTGAAACCTGCAACCTCTGAAACTGCTGATACATACATTCCCAAAGATGTGTGGTAACTCTTCCTTACAGCCACATCGTGTTATTTACCTAAAGGGCTTCATTTGGTGTAGTATGAATGATATTAAGAAGTTCTTTACGTAGCTTGGACTATATTTACTTTCAAACCAAACATAACACTAAACCCACTGTTATAGCAGTATTTTAAGATTTAGTACTTGTTGGTATGTCTTTCTGTCCCCACACTATAAAGTCAAAGTGTGCTTTGCCAATGATTTTTGAAAAGTCAGGATTTCATGCTGAGTTGCTTTACAGTAACACAAATTTCAGTCATGATTTCTGCCATCCAGTAATGATTTCTTCTGACAAGTTCTCCCCTTTACACACTAAGTTAGGAAAGCAGTTAAAATCCTGAGCTGTTCAGAGTATTATTTTAATGTCTTTTGCAACCTTAGAGGTGAGTGACCCTGCTGCACTGGCTAAATTCCAGTTTACGTAATTATAATCTACTACTTAACTCCCCAAAGAAATGCTGTGCAGAGGCCAAAACTAATGCCCATGCCGTTTGATCCAACTGGTGTATCCAGAGAGAATGGTGCCCTGCAAAGATTCTGCATCTGAAGTACTACTTGTTCACAACAAACATGGAAGAAGAGAAGTTTTGCTGGAAAGAAAGGTTACTTTTATAAGGAAAACTGTGACTGTCAGAATAGGCAAGCTTTGAGCAGATCACATAGTTGAACAGCATGACTTTTATTTATCAGAGGTTTGCAAAATCAGACAAGTATCTGTCAGGATTAAGTATACCTGGACTAGAATGTTTGTTGAAGTCTCCCTGAATTATATTTCAAGTTGTTGTTTACATCTGTCCTGTTCTCTGCCGATTCTAATTTTGGCTGTTACTGCATGCTTTGAAAAATTCATTGCAGACTGGGAATTGGCAGATTGAGGTACCTAACTGGTTAGACATCCAAATGACTGTAAGACAGAAATACATGTGAAATACAAACACTGAGGTGATGCTAAAGCACACTCTACAATCTGGAGTTCTTATGGTTTCCCTGTTCTTGAGCAACAGAGGAAATAAAGCCACTGACTGTAGTAATATCAGCCTTTCCAACAGTTTTCCTGTCAAGTCTGCCCACCAAAGACCACACTATGAGTTGGAATTGTTGCTTACTAAGAACCAGTCCAGGGCTGCAAAATACCAATGCACAGCGGTGATTTTCAGTCTCAGTGGAACTAAGCTTAACTGGAACCAGTAGGTTAAAATTACTGCTCACCTCTCCAATACTTTTAGAGCAATGTCACAGAGAAGCAGCATCTCAGCCAAACCCCATTGCCATGATCCATTTCTGTAAGTCCTTATCTATTTGTTTTTTATAATGCCTTTCATAGCTGCTGCTGTTTCAGGTCCTCTTGCTTATCTGACCACTTGTTCGAATGGAGGATTTGGAAGTAAGCAATTCCTTTCTAGGCTCCTGCTTAGGACAGACCTAAAGAAAGGTGTACTGCTTCTGTGAAAAATCGCCGTCCTGGGGTGATGCAGAAGGACCCCCAATTATTGAACACTGGCCTCTAATTCTTGCAGAGGTATTTAATACCTATTCACTTTTATCATGTAACTGGAATCATGAGATTAAGTTCAATGTATTTCGATAAGTCTTTTTGTGTCAAATCTTTCTCTAAGGATTTTATTATTCTTTATCGAAGTAGCCTTTAGAAGGAAGAAGCAGAAGCCAAAAAAATCAAATTAAGATTTGACTTAGTGCATTGTAGTAAACGTAGAGAACTTTCATGGCCATTGAGATAGGAAAAAAAGTCCTGTTTTTCAAAAAAACAAATATTGAGGAACAGCAGGAAAAAAAAAAAGTTTTAAAAATAAAGCATTCCAAAGCAGGCACAGATGAGTTGCAGCCCTCTGAATTCATTGTTGTAATTGCAATATCTCTCAGAAGACCTTTTCAAAAAGGTTGGTCAGAATGTGCCTACTGAATCAGCAAAACTATAACCACAACTGTATTTCCTGCTCAAGCAGAAAAAACATACACACAAAACTACAAAGTGAGGACTCTGTTAACCTAGTATATTTAATTGACTGTGCGAAGCAAAATGAATTTAGTAAAGGCAAAGTTTAGAAAACATAACTGCAACAACTCTGTTTTTTCTTGATGAAGATTCCTAAATATAGCTTTACTACCTGAACATAAAATGAATTTGCACCTTTAGGAGCTGAATTGTACCTAAATGGTCTCTTGTTCATACCTGCTTGTTTTCCCGCAAAGCACTTTACTTTCACAACATGTGGAGTTTAAAAAACTCCACATTAACAAATAGAGAGATTTCCTTCTGACCTTTAAAGCCACACTTAAGTGCCGCTGACACAATAACAATACCAGGCTTTGATGCAGCCAGTGTTTCTGATACATGTGCCTGGATCTCTATTCAACTTGCACTTGTTTTTCCACAGAACTGAAGTCTGAGGTTACTTAAGAAAAAAGACAAACTTTTTGGTGTCTTTCCTAGATTAGTTCATACTGGGGGGGATCTGTTTACTAAGCCTTTTTTTCCCCCTTCTACTTTGTTTCATAAACCTCTGAGTTTCCAAAAGCTGTCAATTGTCAGTTACAGTCTTAACACATTTTTCCTATTTGTTCTATTGAAACTTTTAATTTAGAGAAAAGTCCCTTGGGTCCAAGGTTCTGAAAAGGCTTTATCAGTTCTAGATCTGTATATAAGAGGATGGAAATACAAACTGCATAATAACCTGGGGAGCTATGATTTCTTTCAGGTACATATACCAGAAGGTTATCTGAACAGGGAGAAAAATCCAAAAGCAGAAAACTGCTGTAGTTTGACTGTTGTCGTGTCTTCCTTTACTTCCTGTAAATTTCAGAGACTGTGCTTACGTAAGTACCCTATTGGCCAAGAATCTCCACACTCTATGACCACTAGCAAGTATGCAGGTAACAACTTTCTACAGTCAGGCATATTAAACCGTTTGTTATCGCTATCAACAGCTAGAAAGGAACTTCCTAGGAGAAGGAGATTTGTTACTTACCTGTATACAACACTACTAAAACTACCCTGATTTCCCCTACCAGATCTTGAATTAAGCAGTTTTAATTGAAGTTCTTTGTCCTGTTGCTTTGGCAACAGTAGGCCAGCCTCAGTGGGGGAGATTTTCGGAAGCTTAGCTGTCACTTTGCTAACAGATCACAAGTCAGATAATGAACTGTTTTGCCTTTTAAATACATTTGTAAGGGGAAAAAAACCCCACAGGTTAAACGTTTTCTAAGGTCACAAAGAACCAGTAACAACCTAGGAGCAGAACCTGCTTTTTTGAACTTTAACCCCTTCCCCCAGTTCTCCTTGCTTATGGAAGTAGAGGTTACTAAGATTTATGGCCAAAAGACTTGATTTTTTTTTTAAATGAATATTTAATCCACAAAACCTTCAGTTTACAGTATAAAACCCCAAAGATGTCCATTTAGAAAGCTGATAGCCAACTGTAGTCCATTTTTCTTAATTTCCGTAGCTCTCTTTCCTGAGATTTAGACAGTTTACATGTCATCTCTCCTAACAATTCCATAGGATTTGTATCTTCTTGTTCCATTTCAGTCACATCTCCTTCCTCATACAAATCATCATCTGTTTTTTCACTTTCCATTTCCACTTCATCAGCAACTTCTTCAGCACTGGAAGAAGATGATTGGAAACAACCCAATTAATGGATACTCTCACATACTATAGGAGAGGTACATTATCATGCAAATAACTAAGTAAATATTAGATTTTAGTATTTAATCTCAGGGTACTTGCAAACTGCTATACTTCTTTTGCCATCTCAGTTACAAGACATTTTTCAGGCTTTTCAGCTGTCCTCTGTTTTAAGTAAACTTAGAGAAACTATTTTTCTTTCTCCAAATATCATGCATAATGTCAGAACAGGCAGATCATTATGTAAGAAGTTATAATCTCACAGGATCAGAAACACTGGATACACTTGTAGAGGAGATAATATTTAAGAAGGCTATTCTTCCCTTTCAAATCAGAAAAGGGTTACTTGGTCTTAAAAATTTCTACAAGATCTAGCATTACTAGAAAATGAAAAAGTTGTTTTTTAAACATAGGGAGGTGCTTGCAGTGACTGCTTCCGACTTCAAGAGTTAGACTTGTGCTGAACTAGAAAGCATTCTTGCAAAGAATTATACAGAACAGTTGCCACTTAGAACATCAATGTTAACACTATTAATTCAAATGTGTGTATATATTTTTAATCTTGTTAGGAATGACCTGCATGACAGAACAGTACTCCCCAAATCATCTAATACAAACTATTTATCACTCAAAAAATGTAAATGGTCAAACACTGATATTATACTGTCTTCTATCTATACAGTGACATATTCTTGTCGTTCTTCAAGAGCCCAATCTTACAACCCTTCTAAGTAATTTAAATGTGCACTCATGCTGTTACCCATGTCAAAGTACAAGATCTACATGCGCAAATATTTACATAGGCCCCTGAACTCCCAAATTCTTCAGTACTGAAACTACATGCAAGTTTCCATACATTCCTTGTATTAGACTTTTGCCAGTGTTTTGCTAATGTGGCAAAAAGACTTTTACTTGTGGCACCCAGTAAGAAAGCTAGCAATACTGGCCAACACAACATAGCAGAATTGACTACACTGTTATTATGACAGAATATAACATGCATCAAAAGCGATGCAAACACGGTCTTTTTCTGGATAAGCCCGGGGAGTGTAAACCATCTTCTCTCTGGTCTCTTGAAATTCAGGATGGCCGCTAACACAGTGACACATTTTCATCTCCGATTCAGTAGAGTTTCATTAGACTTTTATAGATTGCACAAAGAATGCAAGCATTTAATTGGCTTCAGTCTAAGCGACAAGATATTAATCCTAACACAAGACTATAGTCATAACCCTTGTGCCTGCATTCATTTTTTAGCAGCATGCATGAATCTCAGAGGAGCAAGCTACAATACATTCTAAGTACCTATCAAACTTCTCCATTCAACTGGGATTAATGCACTATAAGACAATCTTAGCTGTATTCACAGTATACACTATGAAGTGGAGTGTACACTACACAGTACACACTCAGATTGTGTTGTTTGTTGATTTTGTAGTGATGAGGCATTGGAACAGGCTGCCCAGGGCAGTGGTGTAATCACCATCTCTGGAAGTGTTCAGAAACAGCATAGATGAGGCCCTTAGTGATATAGTTTAGTGGTGGCCTTGGCAGTCCTGTGGTAATGGTTGGACTTAATGATGTAAAGGATTTTGCAACTGAGTTGAGTCTATGATTTTAATTAGGAATGAAATTTGAGTTCTAAACAAACTGTTAAGATTAAATTTAAGGACTAACCTCTTGCTCTATCTAGAAACCAAAACTAAGAATCATGCAGAAAGTTATATCAAAGTTGAGAATCTGACATTTATCTTAAATAGCACTAAAAACATTAAATCCCTGGAATAATGTTAAATTCATACAGAACATTTGAGTATCAAAGGCAAACATTTTGCATACAAGCCCATTATGCCAAAGAACAGTAAAAATAACAGCAAAGAACCAACAGACTACACAGCCACTCTGCATCTCTCCCCAAATTTCAGTTATTTTAAAAAACACCTTGCCACAATCAAGCGATAAGCTAACTTATGTCAACAGAAGAATGAAGAGTGTTGGAAAACTGCTTTTACGCTTTAAACAAAGATGTACATAATTTAAAATAACTTCAATAACTAGGGAGAGTTCTTCCATTTTTCTTACCTTTTGTTCTCTTTGGAGATGAGCAATGAACTAATAAATATAGGACACAGGAAAGAAGCAGATGGCAGAACATGTGCTGGAGTATGCAAAAGCTGAAAAATAAAACAGAAGCTTTATGAAAGCTTTTGTCGTGATTTTGCTCGTACACTTACTTAATTACTCTTACCTCTTTGACAGCAGGTGAATCTTGCTCATGCTTGTTATGAACAATTAGTTTTCTAAGGTCTGTATCCTCTTGTGATTGCCGACATCTGTGCTTTCCCAGTAGCAAACTAAATGGGGTCACAGGAAGACTTTCTTCTGTTGCCAGCTTGAAAAAGGTGAAAGTTTTAATTACACTTTTAGTGTCACAAATCTATCTCGTTTTGAGTTATCGAAATTCAGAACCAACTGAGGTGACAAAATTTGACTCAACTGAGCCATATGGCTCTTTGTACTCATTCTCTGGCAGACATCCTGAGAGAATCCTACACAGAGGTAGTAAAACCTTCCAGGATTTGTGGTTCAAGAACACCAGATTTAGTTGGTTGATGTACCAATTAACTTCCAAATACTGAAACTGGTGCATGTGCCAGAAACACTAAGTATGGCTTTCAGATTCCACTTATGACTAAAAGATCATTTACACCCCAGCATCATCTGCTGAGCAACTTAATTCCATAACTGGAAGCATTTTCCTAGCTCAATAAACCTTGAGTACTGAGTTACTTCCCCACCCTCCAAAGAAAGTGATTGTTTGTACCCACATACCCACTGGAATTTGTATTAGAAAGTTATTAACCTATATGTTGATCTATTTTATCTAACCAAACAAATCAATCAAGTGCTGCTGTTTTGTTCCATTCAATGGATACGAAACACTTTTCTTCAAATGAATTTAAAGGACTGAATTTCCCATGATACTTCTCCACAGAAGTACGAACTGAAACGTAATTTTGAAATTCCTTCTCACTGATACTGACACTGTTCATCCTCATCAGACTGTGCAGCTCAAGCTACACTCAAGGTTCCAAGTGTTAAAGAAACCAAGTGAAGAGCTTATTCAAATATCAAGTGGTTTTGCTTCATTTCTGTGAATCCCTTTAGGAAAGTATAACTTTTTTTGTTCAGGGAAAACAAGGGAAGGTGAGAGCAGCTCACTAATACTTCCTTTTACTTTTTAAAAGGATTTTTACCTTTTTAAAGAACAGCAATTCTGTCAAAAAATAAGCAAATACAGATGACTGCCCCTTCAGCCAAGTGCCTATAACCCCATCTAAGGATCTGGTGTGCATTTTGATGACAGAAGGTAATTTGAATCTGATAAACAAACCAGCAGAATTCTGAACTGCTCTGTACATCTCTGTCAGAGCTTCTGTAAGAGGTACCTGTTTGCTGGATGGTGTGAGCCTTTCTTCTAGAGACCTTGTGCTAAGCGTCAAAAGCTCCTAAAATACACAACAAAATAGCAGAGTTATAGTATGTGAAACTGCTTTTGTTATTCCCATACCTTGCCTGTGGAAGCTTTCAACTGGTTCAAAAGCTTTTGTCAGTCAAGTGGAAGAGGGCAGCAGGTATCTTCTTCTTTATTTTATAAAGAAATGCAAAGGAAGCAGGAACAGACACAGAGGCTCTGTATTCAATTTTTTGGGAAAGCAAATAAAAAATTCCCCACCCATCCAAAAATTACAGGAAAAATTGAATATCATATGAAACATTTCGATAATCAGCAATACAGCTTTAGGTGACTGTTGAAGTTAAACAGCATAGGCAATGTTCCCAAAATATCTAGTTTCGTGGATGAATGACATAGTAGAAAAACAGTTGAAAGCTTTTAATAACGAACAAAGCATGGCTTACACTGCCCAGAAATTACAAAAAGAAACTCTTACACTCAACAGAGCAGAACTCTGAATCGGTATCAATCCACATTCAGGAAAATACTTCTTCCCCAAGAACCACCTGCCCATCACTATTTCTTACTTGCGTATCCGTAAGGAAAAATAGTTGGGAACTTCTTAGCCAAAGGTATTTTTCTGAGCCAGTCATTTCAGGTTCATCTCTTGGAACAAAGGCAGCAAGCAGGATCTTCTCTTTACAAAGGTTTCGCTGGATATAGACTGGCCGTGGCTCATTTGGTTTAAACACAAACACTGTAAAAAACCAAGAACACCTTCTCTTTAAATCATGACATTTTGCCTTCCTGAATAGCTGTGAAAGCCCTGTGTACCATTGCCAGTAAGGGCTGGGCAAGATTGCCTTTAAGCACTAGTTTGCAAGAATTATAACTGGATAACCTCACTACATAATAGAACGTGGCTTTCACAGTATTTCAATCCAGAGAACATATTTGGAAATTAATGTTTTTGTAGAACAGTAGCTCTAGGAAGCATAATCATAATTTAGAGTTAAAGCTCTAAAATGTGGCGATTTTCCAAAATTCAACCAGTTTTCTATTTATAGGAGAGGGTCAAGAACATTCCAGATCCTCACCCAGAGAGCATGGTTGATCGTGTGCTATATCCTGCACCAGGAACTAACTGTTAGAAGAAAAGATGGAAAGCCAACATACTTGACTTGACTGCTGCTGTCAGACATGGCTCAGCTTCCCCCAGGTGCAAACACAGACTCAAGTTTGTCTTATGGCTTTCATGGGGCTGAATTCCAGGAAAACCTTTTCTAGAAATTATGCTTTCATAGCTTTAAATTCCACTGACTCTTACTTGTCAAAGAAGCCCATGTACTTACAGCTGGATTCTTTGGAAAGCCACGAGACAGCAGCAATATGTTCTGACAGGGTATCAGGTTGCAGAACTAAGACGTTGAGGTGGGCACTCCATTCCACTGAAAAGCAAACACAGCAACAGCCAGAAATGAAGAAGTGGCATTCACTTCTATCCCACTACTTTGCCACACAGAAGGTTAAATGGGAATGACACGCAGGGTCGTTACCTCTGGAAAAGGCACGCAACTTCATTTATTCCTAAGTGGATTAAAATACACAAATACTATCAACATCTACGCTACCATGAAATACTACCTATTGTTGTGTTATCCATCATCTAACTTAGAATTTACTCTGCACATCGCACAAGGTGCATATATGCTAGACAGGATACTATCTTGCCTGAAATATGAAAATTACTATATTTCCATAGGACATTTTGTAGGGGGTCAATCTGGAATCAAACTAGAATTGTTTTAAGGTTTCATAGTAAATTCAGGTGTTAAATGTTACCACACTAGCAAACATTTAAGCTGATCTTACATGCACAAGTGAGCAGGTTCCAGCAACACAGAAAGCCATGATCAGTGGCACCAATAAGGTACTTGGAACATGTTAGTCTCCCAAAGCAGATGTTCCTACAGAAGTAAAAAGTCAAAACAAGTTAGTGACCTTCAGACTTCATCTGTTTCTCTATGTAGTGATGACTCACAAGTCACAAACATTCTGTTAAGATTTAGTTCTGATATTTAATTTACAAGTTTGCTTTTTGCTTTCATCTCTAGTGGCATAAAACTTCACACAGAGCCACCAGATAGGTCTGGAAGATTTAAAAGTATGCATAAATCTACAACAATTATATATTCCTACAACATTCCAAACTCAAGGCGTGATTTTAAGCTCTTAGACAAGTTTCAAACCCTTAATTAATAGTAAGTGTTCACACTGGGACTGGAAAATAAATTCCATGCTTAAAGAATTCCTACCATTGCTCTAAGCACTAGAGAAGAAAGGCAGTAGAAGTTATTCTTATAGGCTGCTCCAATTGAAGACAGTGTGTGATTTGTTTTCACTTATTTTAATTTCCCATTCTCTTGTTTGACAGCAATACAACAGCCTTCTAATTTCTAATGCTATAGAAAGTTTTCAAAAACACTGATAAGGGTTGTAATTTCTGTATTAAAACATAACCCTTTAAAGTTATGCAATTAATACAGTCCCAGAGTAATTTATTTCCTTTTAATACAGCATTTAATAAAGGCTACAACAAAAGGAGAAGCTGGCCTGGGAAAAGCTTGCCACTGTACCAAGCTGTCAAGAGAAGTTTTCACCATAGATGCAGTAAAGGTGTGACTTACATGCCTGCCACAATTTTCCTGAACACCAGTTTCAGAATCATGTTTCTCAATTTCAAATCTTAGAGGGCCAGCAGAAACAAAACACACTTGATCGTGCAAAAGAAAAGATTACAAGCATACACACACAAACATGGAAGTGAGAAATCTCTCTATCTTTCTATGATTCTTTGTGTCACAGTCTTTAAAACATTGTGACTACACAACATTTTGCTTTCCATTTTAAGTGGTTCCTGGAAGCTGGTATATAAAATACCTCTGACATTACTGCAGAAATGATTATGAGAAGCAAGTTTCAGAAGCAGGTAGAAAAAAACCTCTGCACTAAAAGAGAATGCTAACAGAAGGTTTGTAGCATCTTCCTTTTCCAGGAATTGTTTAGATACAGAGATCTAGCAGACAGATTAAGTAGATGAACCTGTGAGGTCACCTACTGTCCTATTATTTCAAGGTTATTTTAAGAAAAATGGTACTTTACCTGGATCAGAAACTGCTGAATTTTAGTACAGTCCAGGAAGCTCAATATTAAGGTTGTCCTATTCTTCAAGTCTGTTTTTTATCTCTACCATCAACCTATGCCATTCCTCATTATCCTTACACAATAGAACAACATCTAGACCTTCAGGATGTTTTTTATCATGACAGCACACAATGGAGCATGCTGAGAGAGTCTGCCAGGCAAACGTGGCTTTTCCCACAGAGGTTAGAAAGGATCAAGAAATCTATTTTATAATACAGATAACCAGGTCAATATACCTTTATGGTTTATCAATACAACTACTGTTTTTATGCATGCATGCATGAATAAAGAACAAATTTCTTATACTTTTTCAGTACTTTGATTCATCCCTAGATTAATGGGGAAAAAGGGCTATTAACACACTCCTGTTACGCGCGCAGTGACACATATTTGAGTAAGCGAGGTACAGAAGTCACAAGAAAATAAAAAGATGGAACTGCGAAACTTGATCTTACTATTTTTGACAGTATGTTACCCGCCACCTAGAAGCCATTTTAGAGTCTTTTCTATATATGAACTTAAGACTGTTAAATTCAATGATTAGGTGAACATACAGGAGATCTCGGGCTGCTATGAATTGATTCTTTCTGTTCCGAGAGTTCAAGACATAAAAAAATAGATGATAAATATACCTTATTTTTCCAGGTGGATGGCAAAACGTACACTTAAGTTCCCAAGTAACTGAATCCCATACAGTGACAATTTCTTCAAAGCTAACAGCAAGCAAAGAGCCATCTTCTGAGAAACAGCAGTTTGTGGCTTGGTAGTTGTGGTAGCTGCCTACAAAGTCACAGCTCCAGCTCACACTCTGCTGTGCTGCATTGAGCAAACAAGGTAGTTAATTCAAGTTTATACATGAAGAAAGAAGAATTCAAGTATTAGAGCTGCAAAATAATCTCAAGAGGAAGACAGATTTGTTTCAGAAGTCTTACATTTTTGAAGAGAACAGAGATTCTGTATTATTCTAGTACATGAAACATCTAGGTTTTTCATTTGTCCTCAGTTTTGCATTCAAACAATGAATCCTGAGACTGACATGGTACAATATTCATGTTTACTTTGCCAACTACATTAACTGGGTTCTCAAACACACAGATGTTAGATAAAAGGAAAAAAGATACTGAAGGAGATTCAACATTTAGTGTTCTGAAACATACTGTTCTTTTAAACTGTAGCAAGAACACAAGCATTACTAAAAATCTGAATACAGGATGCATTTGAGTCCAGCAAAGCTCACAGTTCATTTACATGAAGTCTGAGGATCACAGTGGCCCATCAGCATGGTCAGCTTTGTATTGGTTAACCAGTATACCCCACTGGGATACCTGCCCCAATGCTGATAATAACCATCAAATAAACAGCAAAGTGATGTACTTACCACATAACATACACTTCCGAGTATAAATAAATTCATACAACATGCTTTTAAAACATGAATAAGATGAGGAAAGAAAGGAAAATAAATTCACCCTATGCTAGGATACCCTTTATATAATGACGAGTTGATGACTGAAAGACCTGCCTGTAAAAAAGGAGCCAGAAACAGTTCACTACTTTAAAATGCATGGCACCATCTAGAGGCAGACTGAGAGATCTGCTGCAGTTAAAAACATCCCAGGGTGTTCTACTTTGAAGTGATGAGTTTACTAACAGAAACTGCAGCACATTGAATCTTTCTACCTGAGCATTCTCTGCTCTGTCCCTGATGGGCAAATACACCACAGAAGCCAGCACTAATTTCTACTTTTACACTTTTAAACAATCAACAGAGGCTGCCTTTCCCTTCTGCAGCAAGTTCAGGAAGGCCTTTGCTATTTCAGGAACCTCCACATCAATCCATAGAACTACAAAACTATGACAGAACTCTTGTTACATAGGATCCTCAGGAGAACACGATACTTCATGCAACTGCAGAAATAGGTAAAAACATGGGACGCAAGGCCCTAGTTCTGACAGGATGAAGTTAGGGTAAGAATTTCTATAGCATGTCACAAGATGACAAGCATGTGACAATACTTACCTTCTGGATCAGTGTCTTCTACCGTCACCCAGACTTTAAACACACAGTCTCTGCCAGCTGTTACCAGTATCGGAGAGTCGTGACATTCATCCATGTCACGAAAGCACATGTCTGTTATGTGGTCCTCATGGGGCGTATTTACCCTAGTATTCAGCTTAAAGCTATAGGAAAAAAAAACAGAAGCTGCCATTTTATTTCATTTTGGAACTTGGGAAAGATTTCAGTTTAAGGTGATTCTGAAAGGGGCAGGGAAAAAAGGAATCAAAGCAAATTCTGTCTAATTAGGTAGCTAAATGGTATTGCATTTACAGATCACATTTCCCTAATCACCTCCACACAGCAAGAGCGGTTGTGGCCCAGCACTAAGAAGGGATTATCACTAAGCAAGCATATTTCTCAAATATTCAGCCTGAGCTCTGGGCAGTCTTTCTAGTACTTAGAACATCAGTCACGTATCTGCTACACAAATCAACTTTGTTTTGCTTTGTTTCTTCTTTAAGAAAATAATGACTTATAGTAAAAATATATAATTTTTTAGTAATAAAATAAGGGAAAGTGTATGAGCCAGATGCATATGTTAGCTAAAGAAAAAAATCAACTATAAAATCATAATCATCTGTACCCTAGAAGGACTAATCAATTCATGATGGATTAGACAGAGGCTGGAAAACTGAACAAGCTATAGAAACCTTTCCTTCAAGGCCATGGCCATTTTTAATACCAAGAAAATATGTGAATTTAAGTCCCATGGTTAAAACAGCTTGTCTGATTACTGTAAGTGAATCAGACTGAGAGCAATGATTTTTGATCTGTATTTATGTCAACTTTGTGTTGTTTCAGATGCATGTAGCATGCATGGTAAACTCTCCCTAGGGTACTCCTAGTTTTTTATCTGGAAAAACTGCCTTTGCAAGATAAAGCCTGTGCAGAATTTGTGTAATACTTAAGATCTTGACACCTAGAAGGCCAGTTCTATTATCATTACCTTTGTGTTTCTTCATCATAGAACCACAGCTTCAACTGTAGCTCGGGGTCAGCTGCTTCTTCTCTCTCTTCCACTGTTGCCAGCCACTTGCCTCGGGCACTAAATGCAACCTTGACCAAGTCAGCTTGCTTTAAACCTGCCTGGTGAATGTATTGTCGCTGAACAATATCCAGCTGCAAAACAAAAAGGCCAAAATTAAATTTCAAAATTCAAGTATAGATTTAAAGGTATCATTTATAAAACCATGGGAAAACGATGTTCTGAAAGCACCAATTAGAACTGACTGGCTCTGGCATACAAAAATAATGTGGGGAAAGTATAATTAGGGCATGTAACGTTCCACAAGAATTCTACGGATTCTTATGGAATTTCCTTGTAGGAAAGGATGAAAAAAAAAAAAAAATTGGGGGGATTTAACCTAGAATTTCTTGACATTTAACACACTGTATTTATTCAACTATCAACATTTAGCTATGCTTCACAAGTATAAGGATCTTGTGATAAAGCTGAAAACAGCTTGGAATCCAGTCTCACAGTATAGCTGCTGGCTTTTGTCCCATTTGCCATATTAAGTCCCCAAATAAGTTCTGATACATGACTTATTTAAGTTAAAGTTTTAGTATAAGCCCATCCAACTTACACTGAACAGCTGCTGATCACTTTGGAGAGAATAGAACTGCAAGTGGCCAGGCTCTCCATTCAGCACCAAAGCTTTGGTTCTAGGATCAACCACTAGACCAGTCTTCACATCTATACCTAGAAACAAAAAGATGACAAGTTACCCAAGATGGAAAGTGAGACATTCTGCCTCCAAAGTGGAAGGCGAATTTTATTGCACTTACTTTTTATTAGCCCCTGAATACTCTTGGAAAATCTGAGGTTGCTGTTGATAATTGTAATTCCTGAAAGGAAAAGCAGAGAAGGTGTTGTGATAAACTTCTGCAATATAACCACATCTCATGGTCGGGCAGGGACCTTAACCAGCTGTACTTAATCCTATAAATGTGTCTTTTCTCTATCTATGACAACCCTACACCAAGATGGACAGCGAAGTTACAGCAGTCACCAGGCACATTCACAAAACTAATGAAAGAGCAAAAGATCACTTAAAGCATTTGTTCTTTCAGATCAATATTGAATTTTTATGTAGTATCTAGTTAATTCATCTGAAATTAACAAAATAAAGCTCAAAGATTTGCATTCCATTTTGCATTAAGCAACACATAAAATACGTTTTGGCTTACTGTTGTCTTTATGCAAGGTGCAACAGAGAGAGCCATCAGATGACACGGAGATGTACTCAATAGGAGATCCCAAACGAGGAAGGAAATCCTTTCGACAGTCTGATTCATTGTGCCACAGAACTAGAACAGATTCAACTCCACCACTCAGCAAGCTGGTTCCTTTTCCAGAAATAAAAATACAGTTACATGTTTTGGTTAAAAAACGTATTATTAGCATACATGTTTACAATGACAAACAAGTCTCTAGAAAGCCTTTCCTAAACTGTCATGAACAAAGCAATTATTTCTCATATTGAGCCTGGGCACAAAGATAAGTTTCTCATCATCCCACGTTAAATTGCTACAGAAACTTGGAAGAAGTAACAAGAATTTGTGCTAAAATTTAATCTGTTTTGGGAGTAGTAGATCCTATTACTGTCTGAATCAGCTGAATTATTTGCGCTAGAACATAGCTGAATTGTCCTCCTTCTAACAAAAGTACTTAGCAGTAAGAAATGCTCTAAGGAGAACAGCTCAGGTCGCATAGTTCAGATAAAAGTTAACTGTATTTTTGCCACTAGGTCTGAGCTCAGACAAGACTGGCTTGTTTTATTTGGAGGCAAACAAGCCTCTGGGAAGAACTCATCAGTGGGGGTAAAAGAGATAAGAGGAGGGGTTGGATTTCACATTCCAAGAGAGAAGGCAGATATTTGATATTATGAATGCCAGTCAAAATATGTAACAAGAACTGCCTCCTTTTTCATTTCAGATCCTTCCTGGACATATTTGAAGTTCTAGATACTACTTCCTTAATAGACAAACTTGAACTTCTATTGATTTTTCCCTCCCTGCTGCAACTCTGACTTCAAGAGCATTGGTTTGCTTGTTTTTTGTTTTTTTTTTTTACTCACCCTCCACAGAATAAGCTAGATCCATGACAATATCATGATGCCAGTGCAGTGTGGAAAACGTGTACTCTTTCTTGTGGTAGAAATTCCTCCTGTGTGGGGAGAAACAGAACAATTCTTTAAGCACATCAACAGAGCAAATGAAAGGAAATACTTAAGTATATCACCCTCTCCTCTAACTTCTAGACTAGGGTTTCTTGTATGCTCAAGTGATGCAAAGGGAGGGAAAGAACAGTGCCAGCAGGTTTTCAGCACCTTCCTGGTGCACACTGCATACCTTAGACATACTCAGCAATTCAGCAGTGGGGAGGAACTTGGCAAGCGTATTGTTCTTATCCATGCAATTCTGCTAGTGTGCTGTCCCTAGGCCTCTATGTGCCCATAAAGAGTTATTTCAGCTGTTTCTGCATTACCTTTTTCAAATACAGTTTAGATTCATGGAGCAAAGGAGTTATTTTCCCATATGATATTAAACTGAAGCTGTACCTTGAAGTCAGTGTGTCAGTACTGCAGCTTCACAGAGCTTTGCCATTCAGTGCTCATTATGACTTCTGAAAATGGCAATGCTATGTGTGAATCAGACTGCTTTGCTCAGGTTTCACTTAATTCTTATGATCACATCAGTTTATGGGGTACACAGTTGAACCAAAACATGCATACCAGAGGCGAATCTTTCCATCAGCATGGCCCGTTGCGATACAATCCTCTGTAGGATGACATGCTATGCAAGTGAACTGACTGCTTCTATTTTTTGTCTTCGTTGTATTTACAGAAAACCTTCAAGAGTTTAGAAAGTAACTTTAATTATATTAGGGTAAACAAAGCTTCAAAAGGATCACCTAATGCACACACAAATAATTCTGACTAGCAAAACCACACATCTCCAAGTTGTTATCGTCACATGCACTCTCAAAAAACGTGACATATTTTTCTCTTTATTTCATTAGTTTTTTGCTTTCAATCAAGCTGAAAGATTTGTCTCTCCTTTTCTCTCCTTCTCCATCCCCACCTCCCCTTTCTCCGTGACCAAACTATGTCACTTGTTTCAGTCCAGCATCAGCCTAAGCATTTATATGAAAAAAATACATGCCTGAGCTAAAAAGCTAAGCTGCTATTGTAGCACCTCACTGTCTGCCTCTACAGGAGGCTTCTTACATAGTGACTATACCCCCTCCAGCATAAAATCAAATGGCTGCTGATAAATGTAAACTAATGTGTGCCCGCATCACCAGTTAAGAGACATTTATGATGTATCTCACTGAATCAATACCTGACACTTTCATTCTTACCTGTTCAACTGCTTCTGTTTAAAAAAATAAACTTGGAGATTAGCCTCCTTTACTGCTGCCACATATTGACCCTGTTATAGTAAAACAACAACTTAGGACATAGTTTGTGTTCTGACACATGAAAGAAAAAAATCATATTACAAAATATTTATAATTGAAGATAATATATAAGCTGATGTTAAGTAAATATTTTCCTATTTTAACTATCATTTTAATAATAGAAAGCGTAGGTCTGACATACTCATTTAACTTCAGTTTTGTTTCTGTGCTGCTGTGCTTGTATAAAAGCATAACAGCATATAATTCATTTGAGAGGCAAAAAAACCCAAACCCAACCAACACCCAAGAGAAGAAAAAAAACCCCAAAAGGTGAATATACTTCTCTTCCAAATGCAAGATGCTTCGGTGATGCACCCACACCATCCAAAACCACTGACAATTCCTTGGCTTCCACATCTTGGCCTGCTGTTTTTGTCAGCTTAACTGAGACCAGCTGGAATGCATCTGAGCAAAGAAAAATCTGTTATCAAAAGGCTTTTATGAACAAGTTTATGTATGTCCCTTACAAACGAGCTTTACACCCTTTCCACCTTAAAACTAACATGAAGTGGTAAATGCTCCATCCCTGGCAGTGTTCAAGGCTAGGCTGGACAGAGCCTTGGGCGACACTGTCTAGGGTGAGGAGTTCCTGCCCATGGCAGGGTGTTGGAACTGGATGAGCTTAAGGTCCTTTCCAACTCAAACCATTCTATGATTCTATGACAGTACCTTCCAACATTTTTTATAAGTGTGAAAAAGCTTTTAATACCTTTCAAAATTAACTTCCAGGTATTTTGGTTGAAACAATAATATCAAAGATTGAGGACCAGCTAGTGAATACCAGTGCAACTGTAAGCAAAACCCAAGCAAAGTTACATAGAATTTGCTCTTGGTTTGAAGTAACATTTGTAGCAATACAGTTAAGAGTAAAGTCATGCTATATTCATATTTATGTTGGAAAAAATTTAAGGAATAAATTTTCTAGGCATGCTGTTAAATATGACAAGTTATCTATGTTAATGCTGCTTAAGGTGGGTGAACAGTCACAAGCACTGCAGCATACCCTGTACCATGGTCAATATTGCTTAAAGATTTACTTCACCTACAACATATGCATGCAGTATGTGTGTCAAAATAAGCACTCTTTTAGACAAATGTTAGAAAGCAGGTATCACAGAATGAACAAAGCAAAACAGGTACAAAATGCAGGACTGCAGACATCTGGCACAGGACTTAGAAATACTTTTAAAAATAAGCCATTAAAGCATGTTCTTGCAGCATACCATTCACTGACATGACAGCAGCTTAAGACACAGAATGACAAGGATGATGCTAATCATACTGTACCTCTTTCACCACTCTTTGGAATTACTACAAATACTGAATCCTCAGAACTAGGAAGTGCATACAGTGCCAGAAGTTTGGATCCTACACTGAAAGTCTGAAGAAAAAGAAGATGAGGAGATCAACAATTACGACATTTGTGTACTGTTTTCAATACTGAAAACACGCGTTCTTTAATGAAACTGATGCATTAAAATTCTCAATTCTACAATAAATGAGAAGACCTTTATTCTAAGAAGGACTAATACAAATGTTAAAACAGTACTAAAAATACAAGACATCAGATTTACTGAAAAACCTGAAGGTACCTTACGCCTAATACAAAGTAGAAGGTCCACCTATAGGAAAGTGCCTCTCTTTAGCAGAAAACGTGAGCAAAGGGACAGTCAGCAGCACACATTTTCAAGCCATCATATCAGTTCCTATTGGCATATCACGAACTGCAGCACACTCCTCAAGAGCTACACTGGACTCTGAACTGCAGCAAGGGGCAAAGTTACATGTCAGTACGTATCCCACCTTTTCTCCCAAAAAAAAGATTCTGCATCATCATGAATTTCTGCAGGGACACACACAATTACCACATTCTATCATGCTATAGACAGACAGTTTTCAGGCTGTTTTAATGGCAGAACAGCACACCTCAGACTGATTTGTGCCCATTTGTACTAACAGCTGCAGAAATCCTTATTCTGGGTCTGACATGTACTCAACAAGAATGACTGAACATACTTTAATGGGAATGCCATCCATGAAGTCCCACAGCTTAATGCTGCCATCAAGAGAAGAAGAATAGAGCTGAGGGAAAAAAAAAAAAAAAAAATATCAAAGCCAGCTTTTACATAAAATCACAGCTTAAAAGTTGATCAATGGAACTGATTCCAAGTGACTGAATCACCAAAAATGCAGGAATACAGGACACAGACCAGCTCTGTGCTATCTTCAAAGAAAGCACAATGGAAATACAACATTATTATTCCGGTATGAAACATACATTTTCACCAAATGTAAATGAACCAACAAATATTTATGCCTAAACACTTGATACTAATAGTGTACACACAGATATCCATTATGTGAACAAGTACTAATCTTTGCATCAGATTTTACATACATAGTGTGCAATCCATCTGGGCAACTGTATCTTTTTTTTTTGCGTGTAACACCAAAAAACCCCAAGCACGCTGAGAACCAGGGCACGAGAAGCAGCGCACAGGGGGAAGCAGCAGCGCACAGGGAAGGCAGGCTGCCAGTAGAGAGCCACTGGGCAAATTAAAGGCATTAAGTCCTATCTGCATCTGTATCGGCAGATGCAGAGGTTCAAACACCAACCACAGTAAATGTTACCGATTTTCTTGCATGCTTCTTCCCCCCCTTAAATCAACAAAATGAAAACCCGGAAATTTTGCCGATATTTCCATTTTGCCGTTGCTCCCTTCAACCAGTGTAACCCATACGATATTTCACTTTTCTGTTTGTAGAAAACAGCCTTAAGGCTTGCCCTTCCAGCTATAAACAGTAGCTGAACAACGCTCCACTCGCTCCCAACCCTTTCTCAAATTCCAGCCAGCCCCCAGACACCCCGCAGCGGCACTTAGGTTCGGCCAAGGAGAAGGAGCACCCCTCCAGCCAAACCCTCCTTCCCCCCAAGACCTGCATGTGGTTGTGCGGGTTGAGCTGGATGCCCGTCACCAGGTCGGCATGGCCGCCCATCAGCCGCAGCGTCTCCTCAGTAGCCACGCTGTACATCTTCACGAAGTCGCCGGAGGCACACAGCAGGTACCTGAAGCGTGGAGGCGGGGGGGAAGCAACGCCGTTAACCCGCACCCCCGGGAGTGGCCAGGCCGCAGTGGCACCAGCGGGCAGCCGTCACCGCGGCAGAGCTTAGGAGCACATCCCCCGCCCCTAACGGTAGAAGCCCAGGTCCCAGCCCCACTTACTTGGAATCGGAGGAGAAAACGGCCCTGGCGCGGTGGATGGTGCCACCGCCACAGCGCACCACGCGCAGCGCACCCGGCGCCACCATCTTGGCCAGGCAGAATTCCGACTTTTCCCCCGCCCCGCCCCGCCCCGCCCCGCCCCGCCCTCCTCCGGTGCCCAGCCGCGACACTGAGTTCCGCCCGACCCTGGCATGGCGGCCGGGGTGGTGTCGCGCCGCCGCCGATTGGCTCCTTGGCTGTGATGTATAAGTGGCGGGCTGATCGTGCAGCCGCGTGGCTCCACTGGGCGGTCTGTCGTTCGGAGTCGGCAGCGCAACAGCCGCGTGTCCCGTATGCCGCGGGGAGAGCCCACCCGGTGCTGCCGCTGCCCGCGGGGAGAACCCGGCCGTGTGCCAAGGACAGCGCTCCTGCATGGGCCTCAGGATGGCGGCTGGACCCGTGCCGCTGCGAGGGAAAGCTGTCTGCCCGCATCAGGAATGGCGCAGGCACGGTGATCTGAGGGGAGGAGTGTGAAACTCCTTGTTTGAGCAGGCAGAAAGGCTGAGCTAAAAATTTGTTATCTTTTGTTAAAACTGTCCACAGTGAGGGGTGTGGAGCATCTCTTATGAGAAGAGACTGTGCGAGCTGGGCCTGTTTAACCTAGAGAAGACTGAGAGGGTATCTCATTAATGTATGTAAATATCACAAAGGCAGGTGCCAGGAGGATGGTGCCAGGCTTTTCAGTGGTGCCCAGCAATGGTCGTAAACTAAAGCATGAGGAAGAGCCGTTATTACACTGAGGGTGCAGAGCACTAGAACAGGCTGCCCAGGGATTTGTTGTGGCATCTGGAGACGTTCCAAACCTGCCTGGATATATACCTGCATAACCTGCTCTGGGTGGCCCTGCCTTGGCAGGGGTTGGATTGGATGATCTCCAGAGGTCCCTGCAACCCTAACTAAAGATTTTGTCATTCTGTTCGTTGGACTTGGACAAAGTGTGAGTTTGCTGAGTGAGAGTGATACCCGGATAGACTCCACAACTCGTTAAAGTTGTAAAGTAGGTATGCTTTTTATTCAGCTCTGAGACGCACGCAGATAACTCCTCAAAGTCATGCGTGCCTCAGTGTTTCCCTCTACATTTATTCTCTAAAGTTATGTATATTCATAAGGTTGCACAATACGCCTATACATATTCATGTCCTATCCTATCCCCGCTTCATATTACAGTGAGCTAGAAGGTCCTTTGCGCCTGCGCAGTGCCCCCTCTGGTCATGGGCGGGGTCTCAAGATGAAGTAACTGAGTCTTCCTCCTGTGGGTAGGGGTCTTCAAGATGAAGTAAATGAGTCTTCCTCTTCTTGAACTTTTCACCTTTTAGTCTTCACTTATGGCCTTAGGGTTTGGTCGGTGTCCCAGCCATAAACCATCTGCTTCTCCCCCTTATCAGTAGATTCAGGTGTCTGCTTTTCCTTATCAATAGCTGCCTATCAGTAGAATCAGGCCTCTGCTTTTCCTTGTCAATAGAACCAGGTGTCTGCTTTTCCTTATCAATGGTTAGTGCCTTTGTTCTGCTTAGTAGGCATGATAGGTACAGACACTACTTTTGTTTAAGCAAGTGAATTCCTCTAGCCCCCCTGTACAACCTCCCTGTACATTGGTTAACCTTGTATCAATTGTGTGAATGTTCTCATGTCTGGAGGAAAGCTCCTGTCAGAATGTCAGGAATAAGTCATGATAGATGGTGTCTGGGCCCTTCACTTCAGGTCTAGGATAGTAGTTGGGGTTCTTGTTCAGGTGTGTATTTTGGGCTGCTGTTGATGCTATTGAGGCAATCTCTGGTATGTTTGTAATTGTTTGTTAAACAGTCCCGCTTCATATACATATATCTGAACACAAATAACAATAACAGGTGCATTCAGGGGGGCTATTTGTGATTATCTGCTGTAGGCCACTTGGCCTACAGGGAAATCCTACATGATGAGAATCCTACAGGGAAAGTAGTGCATATGTTGGAGTATTGTGGTTATAGGGAACTGGGTATGGCTGTTAGAGAGCATAATGCAGCCATAAGCATGGCTCCTAATTTCCAAGGGCTTCACAGTTAAACAGTGTGTGCTTTCTGGAGCTGAGAGTGGGATTTACAATTTCTGACTGACAGCAGTTGTTGGGTTTTACGGCTATGGCTCTCATTCTGGTGAAAATTTCAGGATGTGAAGGCAGAGACACTCTAATGCTCTTCCTGTGTGGGACAGTAGGACGTGATTGAGTTCTGAGCCATGGAGCCTGAGTAAAGCCAGAGTTCTATCATGGGGGAAGAAGCAAAGTCTTTAGGAAAAGACCCTTTTAATTTAATCCATATTAATGAAAGTCTAATTGTCTCTTTAGTCTGAGTCTATGCTAAAACCCAGTTAAAACCCAGAAACTTGGCCTGTTCAACTTCCTTGATCCATCAAGGCAAATACCTTGTGTGTCTTAATACATATGGTTTTTATTATACTGTTGTAATACACATTTAATTTTATGATTTTAAGAAATCTGTCATAAGCTTTGAAGATAGTAAGCCATGTAGAACTCAAGACTACCCCCAAACTAGGAGGGCAAATACCAAGCCTACTATAGTGACACAATCCAATTCCATTTGGAATAGCATGATTAATGTCTTTGAATAGCATTACTTAGAACAAATACTCAGTACACATGCAGTTAAAAAAACAAACACCTCTATATCATAACTATCAAATGGTTTTTGCTACTGAAACCATGTTAGCTGTAGCTGCATTACTGGGTTCTAATGCTTAAGGAAGGGAAATACAAATTAACTGTGCTGCTGGAAGCAGAGAAACCAGTGCTGAAAGCTGTGACTTTGCTGTGGAGGAACAGTGTTCTGCATTGGTACTGCTGGCATATGGCTTATTTGAATTTGATCCTAAAAACCTTGTCTCATATTTAATGAATGTCAGGTTATGTATACAACTTATGATCAGGTCTTGCCTCATGTTACTGTTTTCCCAGAGTTTCAAAACTCTGTAAAAAATAGTCTAAAAGAGTTCTTTCTAAACAAGTGTAAGTAGTTGGATTTATGTACAGTGTCTAGATTGTAAATTTCTTTCCTGTTCAAACCCTTGTAAAAGCCTATATAAATGACAGAATGCAAGAGCAATCAGGAGAAAACCACAGCTCTGGCTTCAAGGGTGCAGAATGACAGTCCTATAAGGCAGGGTGCAGTGTGCTGCTGTGCCATTGTAATTCATAAAGTCAGGAATACAGTTGAGGACACAAACTGTTTTGAAATGATAATTCTGTTTTACATTTGACTTTCTTTTCAGTAGATTTCTTACTTGCTTGGACCTTATTTCATCTCAACCTTACACCTTAACAGAGTACCCCCGAGCTATGTGTCATTGTTCTGAAGACCACTCAAAGAGAGCTATGGTCAGCTCCCTTGCTGTCCCCTGCACCCTGCTCTGACATTCAAATCCCTGTTGGCTGAGGTTTCAGCAAGTGTGTCTGGTACTTTTCAAATTCCAATCTGTTTGTAAACTCCAGTGTTGGCCTTGAATGTTTTGTTTTTGTTTTTTTTTTTTTGTTGTCATAAATCAAACTAATTGAAAAAATTGTTGTAGTGAGGTTTTTTTTTTGTTTTCCTTTTCTTAACCAGCTTGTAGATTGTAAAGAGTAGAAGAAGGTTCTGAAATTGATGCCCTGTAGTCTTACGTAATGAAATAAGAGATGAGAAAGGCTGCTTGTTTTAATAGCTCAGTCATTTAGGAGGTGATGTGACTGGCTCAAATGATGTTACCAATTTGCCTGTATAAAACTTGCTTAACACAAAGGTAGTGAATTCACATGTTAATTTCCAGTTTGGGAAATGTATTCATTTGAAGGGAAATTACAAAATTTTCCTTTCTGTGGTAAACAAAACTAGCATTTCATTTATTTACTGAAAGCAAGTTTAACATGACAGAGGTTACAGTTGAGTATATTAGAGGAACACATATTGTTTGGGGAGCTTCTACAGTGGAACACTTTAGTAGTTTTCTTTTTCCAGTTGGGAAAACAGTTCTTTCCGGAGAGGAAGGTTGGTTTGTAATGCGGCCATGTCCCCCTTACGATCTATAGCTGCTCTGAACACCAGAGGGTGCTAGAAGAATGGCTGCACCATGGAAAAGTGGGTATTTAGTGCCTCGTATGCTGGAAAAGCAGAGGTTGCTTAAGCCGAGGTGTCACTTAGATATCTCTCCAGCCTAGCCTTGCTGTGAACTGCAGGCCTGTGTTCTGCTTCTGTATCCGCTACAGTTGAGGGGAAGGCAGTGACCCATGGTGACTCTCATGTATATGACCTGTTCTTTCCTCTGTGGTGCTCAACAGATGGTACTGTCTCACCTGACACCATAGAAACATGTCAACCAAAGGCAAAACCATAACAAGAATTAAACTGTAAATGCTCATCCTAATAGCTGTTACCATGTGTAGTAGTGGTCTTGATGGGAAGATCATTTGTACCTGGAGGAGTTCATGACCCATGGTAGTTGGGACTCCCTTGCGCATGTCCAGGCCTGTGCTGTGCTGCTGGGCCCACAGCCTGTGTGCCTCACAAGCCCCATGGCTGCAGGATAAACTTGACTAGTGTCATTTAATGGAGGAGCCTGCAGGCCACTCCCCTTGGGGTTGGCCTAGCATTTAAGAAGCAAAGAATGGTTTCGGTTGGAAAGAACCCTAAAGATCATCTAGTTCCGACCCTCTGCCATGGGCAGGGACACCTTCCACTAGACCAGATTGCTCAAAGCCCCGTCCAACCTGGCCTTGAGCACTGCCATGGGTGTGGCAACCACAGCTTCTCTGAGCAACCCTCACCACCCTCACAGTAAAGAATTTCTTCCTTATATCTTTTAAGTAGTTTAATCTCTTTGTATGCTTCCGTCTCTGGTAAATGTGAAACAGAGTAATTAGTATACTTTCAGTTTAATTTGAAATGGTTAATTTTGAATGCACTGTTCTCTTGGAAGTTATAAGACTAAAAGTCACCCCATAATAGTTTGATTTAGACGTTAAGTATCTTGGAAATATTGGCCAGGAAGTACTCACATTTTTAAAGTATATTTAGTTTGGCAATAGAGCTATTCGGAATGTCTGTTGCAAACAGAAATATG